TGGAAAGCCAAAACCAGAAACAACCACCGATGATGCTCCTTCCGTCTTCGGCAACAATAGCGTAATCCAGCCGCCAATCCCTGCCCTCAGCAATTTGACGAACCCCCTGAATCCAAAAGTACCTACCACTACCGATGATTCACCTTCTGTCTTCTTTGGTAACAACAATCTAATCCAGCCACCGATGCCTGCTCTCAGCAAATTGGTGAACCCCCTGAATCCAAGAGTACCTATCACCACCGATGATTCTCCTCCTGTCTTCGGCAACAATAGCGTAATCCAGCCGCCAATCCCTGCCATCAGCAACTTAGCCAAGCCTTTGAATCCAAAGGCATCCGAATTCATACCAGCACCCAGCAGGAACCTCTTTCCTGCTCCTGTAAGGATTCCAGCACCCTTACCCGCAAAGACATTTAATCCACCACCACAACTACCAGTCCATGCTGAAGAAGAATTCGATGGTACACAGTTTAACACTACCTTCTAAACGTCATTGATTCGGATGTCAGGCAAGATCGTGGGTCTCTGCGAGGAAATGTGTCCACCGGAGGAGAGAATCTCTCGTGAAGAAGGCAAAGACCTCTCCATCTTCGAGATGATTCCTGGAACAGAGAAGCAGCCGGTGCCCAGAGTGGATCACAGTCGAGCCATCAAGAAGTATAAGAGATCGACCGTCAATCTTGGGGAGGGTGAGAGAAAGGGTGTCGATCCTCGCCTCGTCAGGACCCTCCCGACTCTGGAGAAGACCATGACGTACCTGTTGGAACACATTGTTGATGATCGAAATCATCCATTCCGAGAGATGTATAATTTCGTGCGAGATCGAACACGAGGAATACGACAAGACATCAGTTGCCAACAACTCCAAAACGAAACTGTAAGTCGTCATTCACATTGTGATCTACAGCCATTCATCCTCCCCCTCCATCATCGTGACGACACGATGAACGAATCTTCTTCATACTCTGACATCCTCCAGGTCGTTCGTATTTTCGAACAAGTCGCTCGCTTCCACGTCATCGCCAATGCCAAACTCATCGGAGACGAAGATGAACAACAGATGAACCTCGAGCAACTCAACAAGTGTCTCATCTCCCTCCGCGAGCTCTGTATCCAAACTTGTCTGTCACCTCCTTCGTTCATCCTTGACCCGATGATCATCAGACTTTGATTTGAGAACCCAGCACAATTTCGTTCCACAAAACGAGCCCGAATTTCAGAGTTACTTCCTCACCTCTCAACTGTTACTCTCCAAGAAGAAGAGGAACGAGAGCAACACGGAAGATGATCTCATGAGCCTACCGGACGACATCTTGAATTCACCACACATACGTCTCTTCACCGAGGTAACACCCTTGAATCATCACACGTCTTAACCTTCTCAGATATGGAAAGCCGTGCAGAGTTTTAATTACTATCGCTATTTCAAATTGATGAGAGAGGCTGATCCTCTCACGGCCAGTCTGATGTACATCTGGTCCAACGGAATAAGAAAGATGTTTGTAGAGAGGATCGCAAGATATTCAGCTCAGCAGTACGAGATAGCAGAGATCACTTCCATGTTGGCCTTCTCCAACGATGCGGAGACTTTGTCTTTCCTGGAAAATTCGGTGAGCGAACTGCAAGTCGTGGGAACAAAGGTCACCATTCCCAAGAACAGTTATTTCGCCTGTGAGTTTTCGAAATTTCCGGGAGATTTCCGGGAGATTTAGAGGAATGATCGTTCGCAGCAAAGTACGCGAAAGAGAGTATGGGACCCTGGCTGGAGGAAAAGTTGGTGGGAAGCACTCTATCAGCCATCATCCAAGGAGAGAAGATGGATCAGAGCCGGATCGATGCCATCAACGAGAAGAGGAGACAATTAGAGGAGCAGAGAAGGAGAAACCAAGAGCAACTGCAGAAATTGGAGGCACAGAAGAGGATCCAAGAGAAATTAGCGAGAGAGAAGATAGAGAAGGAGAGGATCGAGAGGGAGACAAGAGAGAGAGAGGCCAACTTACAGAGAGAGAAGATAGAGAAGGAGAAGAGAGCGACCGAACAGAAGGAACGCGAGGAGAAGGAGAGAACGGAGAAGAAGAAGGAAGAGGAGAACAAGCTGGCGAGAGAGAAACGAGAGAGAGAAGAGAAGGAGAAGAAAGACAAGGAAGAGAAGGAGAAGAAGGAGAGAGAAGAGAAGGAGAGGATAGAGAGTGCGAGGAGAGAAGAAGAGAGAAAGAGGATCGAAAAGGAGAGAGAAGCAGCCGCAGAGAAGAAGAGACAAGAGATGGACAGAGAGAGGAAACTCAGAGAAGCAAGACTCGAACAAGAGAGGAGGGAGGAAGAGAAGAGAAGGCAAGAGCAATTGAGACTGAAGATCTGGCGGGAAAAATTGACATTGAGAGCCGTGCGACACTGGAGAAGATTCACAGCAACTGCGGACCAGAGGAGGGAGGTGGCCAGAGTACAGCACTGGAACACCCTCTTAGAGAAAAACGGACGAAAATTCATCATCCACGACGTGATCATTGCCGACGACGTCAGAGAGGAAGTTTCGATTCCGTCTTCGACGAGTTCATCTACAACGCATGAGATCGATCCATCTACAACGGAAAACGTCGACGAATGGTACCGCAGACCTCGAAAGAACAGGGTCAGGCCCAACAAACGGCCCAGGTACGTTCAGAGACATTTCTCGTTCTCATCACCTTCCCAGGACGGCTCCACCGGCACCCCTCGATTCGTACATCGATGAGAGGATGGACATCGATGATGCGAGCACTCAGGATGAGAAGGATGAAGAGATGGACACATACGAGAAGCAGATCCAGCAGGAGAGAGAAGAGAGCGAAGTGTGGCTGCAAAAGTTACAATCGTTCGTGCAAGGAGGTCAAGCGTCTGAATTATCACGAGGCACGAGAGAGAAGAGTCAGAGTGTGGAGGGTGAGTGTCGATTGGGAGGGAGAGACTGATGGAGATGTAGATCTGACTTTGGAGATCGAAAAGTTGAGGAGAGAGGGAGAGGAGATGGATAGAAAGATGAATGCACTGACGAATGTGCTGTGCACCCTGTCGAATAAAACGTAGCGCGGCTATATTGATAATAAGTCGTACTTGAATTTCCTGACGATGCAACCCAGCGACCATAATTGAGATTTATGAGATTGTGTTTGACTTCATACATTCATCGCGGAAACAACAACTTTCACTCCCTGACTCAAATTGGGTCGTCTTATGTGACAACTCGATGCAGATGGGACAGAAAAGAAGAATATCTCCTGAGTGTGTCTCTATACAACCGGGTCATCTAACTTCGCACATTCACATGAACACCAACCCTAAACTCGAAAGAAAGCTCAACACGGCATTGAAATACATCGTAGAGTCCAAAGATGCAATCTCACCTCAATTACCTCCCGAGAATGTCGTCTGATCTCATCATCATCACGAGATATCTTGCAGTGTCTTTCGAATCTCAGCTCCTTCGGTGCAAGCTGATGAAGACTAAGGCAGACACCACAAAGAAGAATTCGGCAAAGTCCGCGGCGAGGATCGAACCGCTGTATCACTCGATCATTTCCAATCTTCAATTCCAACCCCAAAATTTTCTTCTCCAACCCATCATTCGACGTCATCTCTTCTGATACGATTTTTCATCTTTTCATCCAATCCTCTCTTCGGGCTGAACTCCAATGATGGCGTTCACAGCTATGTCGCTGATGATGATGCAGTCTGCCATTGTATGATTCTGTTGGAATGAAACCCGAAATTACCGTTTCAAATCAATGAGAGCAAAACAATGTCGACTGTGAACGAAACTGCTGCACGCTCGAACAGACTTTCACCTTACACCAGATGCCTTGGGAGTAGCTATCAGAATTGGAGATGGACTGATGGAATGAATTAGCCTCGTGTAGTGACGCACCGTGACGTCCTTCCTGGAACCTGGGAGGGACAACACAGAACATGGAGCTGCGGCCTGGGGACGGAGTCTGGGCAGTGGAAGGAGTTTAGAGGTGCAACGGTGATTCATTCTGCCATTGAGGATCCAATCGTAGGAGGCTTCTCAATTGGGGACCACCGTTATCCTCAGCGAACATCGACGTCGAATCCTCCCCCTGGTTGCTGGGGATGGACGACCACATTCCATATCCAGACAGCAGAAAGGAAGAGACCACACAAACATAAATACACACACACACAACATGATGACAACGCGTGACTATTCGCTCGCCGAGCAGATAAAAGTTTTGACCCTGAGAGAATCGTCACGTTTCAAGAGAGGACAGAAGGCCAGAGAGGCCATGAAAAAGCTGAAGAAGTTGGACTTGTCCAAGTTGGAGGTGTGACATGATGAAGAGAAGGGGCGAGTCTGATGATGGACAGACTGTCTGGGCAAAAGAGATGGAAATCAACTTCAAATCGGACGACTCTTACCTCTTTGACGATTGAAACTCATCTGATGCATGCATCTCACAATCAGCACCCCACATCTCGATCGTCATGATTGCACTGATTGGGACAGGGATAGGCCTCCACAATAACACACACAAGTCTTGATAGAACGATAAGAGAATTTGATTCCCTTGTCAGCAACAAATAACTGTTGAACATTCCAGTCAGATGAGAACGTTGAGGTATATCCCTCCACACAGAGAGTTCAGTTCCGTGGGACACGTATAAATTCTTTCACACAAGCGTTATTTTGAAGTGATAATAGTGTTGGATTTCTAGTGAGATTAGTCCATCGGTCCCATCGCTCGATCGAGTCTCTCTGCTTGAATCGACGGTGTGAATGTATAAATCGAAAGCACCAAAGTCAAAAAGCTGTTTCCAAAAATGGCTCGATCCTCACCGCGGACATGATCAAAATGCGATGAGAATTTTTGTTCACATATGACACATCTTAATGGTTGTACGAGTCGTTTGAGGATACAGAATGACGTAAATGGTCGTAAAAAAGAGAAATCCACCATAATCCCAGCTTATCCCACCCTTTTTCACGGCGGAAATGACAAAAATGATGTCCGCGGCGAGGATCGAACTCGCGACCTTAGGATTTCCCTATTGATTTGTAGATATGAGACCTACACTCTAACCGACTGAGCTACGCAGACTAATGACGGCGATTTTATAGAATATGTGGTAATAATGCAATATTTATTGTAATCATATAATTGGTCCGTGTCGATATGTGATGAACATCACAAGTTGCATATTGACCTGAGGATATTCTCGCATTCAAAACATAAGGGCTAGAGGCTTGATCAGGTGTTGTTGCTGATGAAAGATGGATGATCAGTGGAGGAATGATGATGAAGAGGCAGTGATGAGAGATTGACATGATGATTTGATCACCCAAATGAGTTCTTGGGCTGCCCACAACTTTTGGAAGACAACACCAGACTGACAAAAAAGTAAAACACCCAACAAAAAAGTAAAACGGACTTTTTCCTTCTATCTCTGCTTGTAGACGCTCAATTTTGATCAGTATGATAGTCCTTGCCACCAGATGAAGATCAACATATAACAAACTATCATAACAATATGCTGACAAGAGATGTCCATCAAACAGTGGGTAGGATTCTTGCAAAAGTAAAACAGTTATTTTATTTTTTCACCATTTTGGTGTTATCTCAGATTTCCTCTGCCCCTCAGCATGTTCAGCAAAGCAATCTTTTGAAAATTTAGCTATTTTCAGTGTGGACATTGAGGTGTAATTATGATTATCTCCTTGGTAGTCCACTTCTTGCAGTATGCAGCTGTTCTCCCTGATTTACGTTTGGAAATCCTAAGGATTTCTCTGTTTGGAAATTGTAGATATGAGACCTACACTCTAACCGACTGAGCTACGCAGACAGATGTCAACTGACCTTGAGGGCTTTGAAAATATCGTTGCAGATAGGTTATATTATTTTCTAATGTGATGTACAACAATCTCCACTCACCCATAGACCTCAGAATTACCCTATTGATTTGTAGATATGAGACCTCTGACAAGCTATGCAGACTGATGTTGGCAATCATGAAATGAGTCTGGAATAAATGATAGATCCAATGTATATCACAAGGATAATAAACGAGCAATGAATAACAAGATAGCTGTCATCAAGATGAAGGATGAAATTAGTGAGGAGAAAAAAGCTGTTTAAGAGTGATCAACAACAAGCATTGTGCTTATGATCAATGTTAATGATAGGTGATCAACACCACAACTGGCATATTGATCTAAGGCTATTTGGCATGAGCAACATGAAGGGTCCAAGACTCAATGAAGTAGTGCAGGAAGAGAGGATTGACATTGCGATAAACCCATTGCATGAGTCAAAACAGAAAAATAATGGTATTGAGAGATTGGGCTGACTGTTTGAAAAGACTAGATATTTTCAGCATGGACATTGAGGTGTAATTACAATTATCTCCTTTGTAGTCCGCTTCTTGCAGCTGTTCTCCCTGATTTACCTTTGGCATCAATAGTCCATGAGGAATAAAGATACTTTGCTATTGTAGAGTGGCAGCCGTACCGGGAATTATTTGGTGATGCTGAACTGGTTGTATTACGCAACAAGACATCCGTACACTACAGAAGGGCTATTACGAAAAAGAAGCCAGATGCAAATCATGACCATTATTCTGTGACGCCCTCGTCATCATAGCTGTCTACAAACCGAGCATCCTCTTGCCTCTGGAAGAGGTTTGTTCTCTATTTGCTCTCACATTGACCAACATCAGGTATGCCATGCATTAAGAGACAAGGCAAAAATGCTCTACATGCATGCTGTGCTAACGTACTTTATGATGAAGTCCGTTACCAATGCAGGACTCTTCTAACATCCACAGATGCACACCTATTATCACTGCATGTATATGTACCGTTGGTCTTCCTTTGAAACACGCTTCGACTGGCCAGATGGTGTCATCATCTCATCATCTGTCAATCAACTGTAACCCCAAAGAGTGTGAGAGGGACCTACTCTTACAACACATCTGGTCGACTCCTTTAGAAGTTTCGACTGAAGGAGGAATCAGGAGCTGTGATCCCCCAACTTGTCCAACAATCGATGAGAACATGTTTCATCGTTCACGAACAAAAGCGTAAGGTCTGGAACCATTGAGTAGACAAGGAAAGTGAAACGTTCTATGCTACAGTGATGTTCCACACAATCAAGGTCACTATCAATGTAAATCGTGTAAAGTATATAAAACGAACGCTCAAAATTTAATTCTCGTCGTCCCAATTTACGTCCTGTGCAGCGTGGTCGGTATCGATCGCCGTTCCTTCAGTGATAGCGTACAACAGCTTACTCCTAATTTCTGTAAATAAAACAAAATAAAATAAACTTCACCTCATGACTTTGACGGAGCTGTATCGAGGTAGTTTTAATTGGAAGAAACAAGTGTGAGAGACAGGTAGGGTGGTGTCCGAATTGTGAGACGTCGTCAAGACGACAAACTTTTGTTCAAAGTCTGCAGACGTGAGAGGTAGTCTAGATCTGCCCCACACGAATCTCAGTAGCATCTGTCTCTCTTCGTTCGAGAAGCTCTCCATCACCTAACACGTTGAGTATAAAATAAAACGAAATAAAACGTCAATCACCTCCCAGAACATGTGTACGTGTGGATCGTCCGGAGAATAACCGGAATAATTCGTGTTCTCTCTCAACAGCTGCAAGTTGACTTCCCTCTTTCCACACACGCTGAGTTCTAATTCGTTCCACGTGAAGAGAGACATCAGACTCTGAGGCACGATCGTTGCCAGTCCTCTCCTCATGGCTTTCATCTGTTCCTCGAATTCTCTCATCTTGTACTCGGACAAGAGTTGAATGAACTTCTCTCTGTTCTCCCATGTCACTTTCACTTCCGATCCCGACGGAATCAATTCGACCTGGAGGAGTCACCATCTACAACGAGCCGCTCCGGCCTCCCACCTCCCTCCCGTCTGTCGACGTCGTGACGAATTCGAGATCGATGAGGTCTTCGAGTAGTGTCCCCTCATCGTGTTCTTCTGGCTTTGCGTTCATCAGCTCTTGCATCATCTTCACGGACAGTGCATCGATGGACTCCACGTCTGACAGGTCTATGACACCGGAAGTGTCAGATTTCCCATGGGAATATCCGGCGAGGTACTTCCACACGATGGAGGGTAAGTCTAAATTTAGAACGTGCTTGGCTCTCATGGCAACACCCATCAGTTTTCCCACGAAGGAGAACATGGAGAGTTGTAGTGTGGACGTTGCCCCCGGATTCGGTACGAATTTCTCTGAGATATTTCAGAAATTTCCGAGAATATCGACGGAAATTTCACCTTGGTTGTCGCCGAAACCTTTGGCGTTGGGGCAGGGGATGAAGAGAGGAACGTGATTCGAGTGTAGATCGATACAGATGTGAGAGATGCAATCACGGAATAGACCTCCTGCATCCGTGCCACCCTCTCCAGAATATTCCACCGTCCAGATCTGTCCCAATCTCCTCAATTGGGACGGTGGTACAAAGTGTAACTGTCTGTACAATTGTCCAAAGACCGATTTGCTTCCTGTGATCGTTGAACGAGAATAAAATGAAATAAAATACCTTCTGGATCTCCCTTCTCCCTCGCTTTCAGAGCTCTAGGTCGGTTGATGTTTACAGATGGACGATGTCGACTCGTGTTTGTAGAAGAGATGATCTCATTCCACAACGCCATCTTGGTCTCTCTCATGATGTACGTACGTAATCTTCCCAGGGAATGGCTGATGCTCCATCGGAATTCGGACTGTCCGAAGTCGATGATGGAGAGGACGGAGCGTAATTTCAAGTTGAAGAGGAGGAGCACGTGATACCTCCACTGCAGAAATTCCGACGAAACTCCGTGCAGTAGTTTGTTGTACCTTCCCGCCATCAACACGATTTCAAATTTCGAATATTTCACCTGGCGGCAATCGATCGGCCGTTGTCCGTGTTCAATAGGAGGGTCAACAATTTGTCTGCAGTGACTTCGAACGAATCGAAACCTGTCGATTCAACTAGTTTCGATACCATCTCGGCTAATTCTGCGTCTGATCTTCCGTTCCAAGCTGGCGTCTGCCTCTCTAAGACCTGCATGTCTTTCTTCACGATGGCCATACTGCTCTCCTCTTGCGTCTGTTCACGTCAATCTACAACGATGTAGACGATCGAAATCACCGTTCCCTGCTCGCAGAGTTGTTTGATTTCGTTGGCGTTGAGAGAGCGGTAGTGTAAATTCATGTCTTTGACCATGCCCTCCATACCTTGTGATACCGCCTCGGAATTCATTTCCGTGGGTAATCGTCCCACGAAGAAGGGATGCTCGTTGTAGATGACCCTTCCCTTCACTTTCCTCGTTCCTTCCAATTTTCCATCGATGTAGATGTTCATGCTGTCACTGTCGTACACGCAGGTCACGTGAGTCCACGTCTTGAGAGGAATGGGGGTAGAAGAGGTGACACCTGGTTAAGTAAAAAAAAAGCAAGGGAGTGGGGTTCGAAATCGATCTCACTCTCTAATCGATGGGTGGTGGACAATTGGAAGACGATGTGGTTCTCTTCTGAATGGAGTGTGACGGCAGGTGAGGCCCTCTCGATAGATCTTCCTTTGCAGAGGATCAATTTGTTTCTACCCTGCTGTCCACCCAGAGATAATAAGAGAGAGAAGCTGAGAGAGAAATTCTCGAGAGGGTAATGGGTTGAGGGGGGTGGAACGGAGATACCGATCTCGGGAAACAGAGCGATCTGTCAGATCGGTTAAACCCTAAATCCGTCGTTCGGGGTGAAATTTCACCTCGTTGACGATGGGCCAGTGATGCTTCCTGAAGAAACGAGTCATGTAGTAAGCCTCCGTACACAGAGAAGGAGTGAAACTTCCCGTGGAATGAATCGATTGAATGTTCTCCGCCACATTGACCATGTGTTCGAACCATGATTCCTCCTCGATCTCCAACGCTTCTCCTTGTTTCGCGCTGACGGTCTTGTTCTGCGTCACCTGTTTTCCCATCAATTCTCCATCGACGTACGTACGTACCTTCCCCGCGGAATCTACGTATTGGTAGGAGATCTCGATGATGTGGTTCTCTGACAGACCACCCAGCGTACTCTCTGACATGGCAATGACAGGTGACATG